GAGCTATATTGAATCACCATGTGGGGGCTTTACAAACACTGAAAACAAAGAGTTTCTGATGAAGCTAACTTTGGCATTCAAGGATGCGAGGTCCTATGGCTAGTCTCGACAACGAACTGAGAAAGGAGCTTGAGCAGGCACTGGTAGACGAAATCGCCAAAAATCTTGGAGACACCATAGATCAGATGGGCAACACTAACATAGAGGACGAGGACCTCGGAAAACTCATAGGTACGAGTCTCATTCTTCTTCTTTCTTTCGAGCTTATCACTTTCACAATGGGCTTATCATTGAAATCCAGTGTCCATAACTCCAAACCTAACGCCTGATCTTCAGAAGAAGGCTTCAGCGAGATTGAAAAAGAGTTGGCATCGAGCTCCACTGAGTCTACTTCCACTGGCAGAACCACCACTCAGCCAACCCACCCAACCGCAACTACGAGAAGAGTGACGACACAAACAACTACAAGGAGGACCACCACGACTGAAGTGGACGAAATGATGAAGGAATCACCGTTTGACAAGGTAGGCCGATCAAAAATTGTTCTGAGATGAGATGAAAATGAGTCTTTAAGAACTGAAGGTTCAAATGGCCTACCTACCGCATCCCAGGGATTTTGATGTAAGAATTATGAGTCTACCCAACCCAGATGGAAGGGCGTGGCTGTCCACTAGGGCTGTAAATGCGCATTTCGTGGATCAGTTCATTTGAGACAACTGTCATCCAGAACTGCTTGACAAATACATGACTACAGTCGTCTCAAAATCCAATTTTCCTCCGAAAAACCAGCTGCCTCCACTTCCAAGTGAAGTCACCACGTTCTCCCCATTTCCGGTACGAGGCGCTTTTTCCAGCAACTATGAGCTAAATTGTGAAAAGGGTAGAACTGAAGCGGCGTACTGCCTGCTATGGGAGATCGACTGAAGCGGTAGGCAGTCCTATAACTCAACTCGGAGTTTTTTTCTGAAATACGTTGTACAAAACGAAAACGCTGCGCAGTTCGGCGAGGGGGGGGGTATTTCGCAATTTCTTTCACGTTACACCTCTCACCTTGATGAAACCTGCGGACTCTTGTGAAGCTGGAGCAAGCTCGTTGAGCCATCA